TTTCCTGGCTGAGAGATTTTCCCTCCCCCAGGACCTCACACACACCTATATACACTTACACACACCTCTACACTCACACACACACACACACTTCTTACACTCACACACACCTACACACACACCTCTAGACACTTACACACACCTACACACACACCTCTATACACACACCTCTATACACCACACACCTACACACACCTCTATACACTCACACACACACACACACCTCTATACACTCACACACTGACACACACCTCTATACAACACACCTACACACACCTCTACACCTACACACACCTATACACACACCTCTCTACTTACCCACCTACACACACACCTCTATACACTTACACCTACACACACCTCTACACCTAAACACCTACACACACCTCTATATACCTAAACACCTACACACACCTCTATACACGTACACACACCTACACACACACCTCTATACACTTACACACACCTACACACACCTCTATACACTTACACACACACCTCTAACACTTACACACACACCTCTACACCTAAACACCCACACACACACCTCTATACCCTTACTCACACCTACACACACACCTCTATACACGTACACACACCTACACACACACCTCTATACACTTACACACACACCTCTATACACCTAAACACCTACACACACCTCTATACCCTTACTCACACCTACACGCAGGAGGAGGTGGTAGTGCGGGAACGAAAGGGCCTGGCTCGTGCGGCGAACGCGGTCCGTGTGCTCCTCTGCAGCATGATGCTGTTTTGTTGCGACCGGTCGACCGCACAGTTGGGGTGATGGAGGTGGTGCGGTGCTTACCATGACCGCTATCACCACATGCACCACACCATCTACCCACCCACCCCGTGATACCACCACACACACCACTCACCCACACACCCACCCACACCACACCAACCACACACACCAGACACACCGCACACACCACACACCGCACACACCGCACACACACACACCACTCACACCACAACCACTCACACTACACACACCACACACCACACACCACACACACCACACACCACACACACCACACGGTTCCCCGGAAAGACGTGCCACTGGGACCGCAGCGGGGAAGGAAACTGAGCAGCAGATGCCAGGACTGGACTGGACATGACTGCTGCCAACAGAACTCTGTTCAGAGATAGGATCAATCCAATGTATT